CCCCAAAACCCCAAAACCCCAAAACCCCAAAACCCCAGAAGAACTATATAATATTGATTCATCAATAATAATAATATTAAAAATGGATGGAAATGATGTGTTTCAGAGAAATATGAAAACAAAGGTTTCAGATGTAGTAAAGAATCCACAAGAACTTATGGTTGGACTTAAAAAAGAAAAAGAAGAAGAAAAGAAAGAGTTATCCAAAGAAGAAGATTTTGATACCTATCCTGAGATTACTGAAAAGACGAAGGAGAAGCTAAAAGAGAGTGGGATTGCATCTTTATTCCCTATCCAATCTTCTACTTTCAAGCATATCTATGACAACAAAGATCTGATCGCAAGAGATTTGACTGGGTCTGGTAAAACTCTTGCTTTTTGCTTGCCTCTTGTAGAGAGGTATAGAAAGCTAGAATATTTTACCCCCAAGAAAACATTTGCTAGGAATTTGTACACAGTGATCATGACTCCAACCAGAGAGCTTGCTCTTCAGGTGTCTAATGAACTTAAGAAGCTAATGCACAGAGAGAACGAATACAGAGTTTTGACTGTATATGGTGGAGTCCCAATTGAGCATCAAGAGAAAGAGCTCAGATACGGAGTCGAATTTTTTGTTGGAACTTGAGGAAGAGTACTCGACCATATTTCAAGAGGGAATATTGATTTTTCAAATATTAAAGCAGTCATCCTTGATGAGGCTGATCAGATGTTAAACATGGGATTTGAAGAAGATATTGAAGAGATCATTGATAAGATTGATATGGAAGTAAAGGAGAAGCCTCAATTTTTGCTGTTTTCAGCTACGATCCCTGATTGGTTTAAATCAGTGGCTAAAAAATACCTGAACAAAGAATATGAAGTTGTGGATTTGGTTAAAAATCTAAAGAACAAAACATCTCACACTGTAAACCATCTGGCTCTTAATTGCCCTTTTGAAAACAAAATTTCTGTTCTTGCAGATGTTTTGAGATGATATGGAGGCTTAAAAGGAAAATCAATTGTTTTCACTCAAACTAAACTAGAAGCAAATGATATAATTTTATCAGAGAAAATGCGAAACAATGCTGAAGTTCTACATGGAGATATAGCCCAAAAACAGAGAGAAGTCACTCTCAGAAGATTCAAAGAAGGAAAATTTAATGTTCTAGTGGCAACCGATGTTGCTGCTAGAGGGCTAGATATCCCAAATGTTGATCTTGTTGTCCAACTAGAACCTCCTAAAGATATTGAAGCATATATCCATAGGTCTGGAAGAACAGCAAGAGCTGGGAAGGATGGAATGTGTATTACCTTCTATACAGGAAGAGAGTTTAGAGTCATTAAGGATATTGAATATGAAGCTGGAATTAAATTTAACAAGATAACTCCTCCAAAGAATGAAGATGTCATTAAAGTGGCAGCTGCGGATGTTATTGTAAACTTGAGGAATGTTGATAAGAAGATTCTACCAATTTTTGAAGATGCTGCAACACAATTTATAGATGAAGTTGGGGCAAAAGAAGCTTTATGAATGGCCCTTGCTTATATCTCAGATACATCGAATGCTCATCTTTCTTCTAGGAGTTTCTTGACTGGAGAAGATGGATTAATGACTTATATCCTAAAATCAGATAGAGGGATCAACAATGTTGCTTATGCTCATAGACTAATTCAAAATAATTTCTCTAAAGACATCGCATACAAAGTAAAAGGGATCAAGCTGCTCAGAAGTGGAGAAGGGATAGTGTTCGATATAAATGAAGATAATGCTGAAGATCTAGACCAGCAATATAAAGAACAAGCATGCACCTCCAGAGGGCTACCTTTTGTTCTTGAGAGAGCTTCAGAACTTCCTGAAGTTGCAAGCGAAGGTCACAGATATACAAAGTCATCACAAGGATATGGAAAGAGAGGAGGCAAAAATGGAGGGTTTATGAGCGCCAGAAGCCACTACAACCAAAGTTTTAGTGGATATAATCATGGATCCAAAGGAATGACAAGAAATTATAAAGGAAACGATCATGAAACTTATGATGCTCAATCAATGAGATCTGAAAGAAGTGATTTTGATAAGAAGGAAGTATCAGGAATCAGTTTTGGAGATAAGCCTAAATTTTTCAGCAGGAACCAGAAAATGGGTGAAAAACCTTCTTTCAACACAGAGGGAAAATCTTTCGGTAGAAATGAATTTGGAAGAGGAAGAGGCTCCCAGTCAAGAGGAGGATATAGAGGAAGAGGCAGAGGAAGAGGATACTAAAGTTCTCCTAAAGAAACAAATTATCAAATTGAAAGGGATAGTAGTCGCATAAAACAAAGATAAGCTCTTAAAGGTTTATGTAAGCTATTAATTTTTCAATTAATTTGAGACTGGTTGGGGTTTTGGGGTTTTGGGGTTTTGGGGTTTTGGGG